CACTCAGCTCCTTCGCCTCCCGTCGAGCTGCCCTCCCCAATCAGACTCAATAAATGTCACACTACATTCCCCTATCCACACTTTTTTCCCTCAGTAGTTTCATCGTTTTAGGTTTGAAAGGATGGCTAAGCGTGTCGAATTCTTTCTGGTTTCTTTGACGCCCAGCAGCAAGAAGGAAAGGCAGAAAATCTGCGTTCTACAATCTGTTATATTTCCTATCTATTTGATCAACGCAGCCAACAAGTGTTCATAATCTCATCACATTTTCACTCCTCTAGTCATTTTACAAGTTAAGCTCCTCTTCCCGTGCTCATTTAACACATTTAAAGCCGAGAAGGTTTGAAGAACTAAAACCTGTTTCATGCGAGCATCTGTAAGTGTGCAAGGTCATGGTCCGCTTTAGAAACAGCAGGAGGCGTGTAATACGATTACAGTAAGCTGTAAATTATTTTAGGACACGGCTGCTGATGCCTTATATCAGTCTTACTGTCACTGGTTACATTGAGAAAATCACTAGCTCTGTAGCTATACCTACCACTAATAAGACATCTGCTTTCTCATGATAACGAAAAAATCATTCCTACGCGTTGTTCCAAATTAGACATTTGACTTGGTATTTGCTGCATTATGTGGATGAGTGTAATAGTGGGTCCAAAATATGACATGCATTCAAAATCTGATTTTTTTCCAACATGACTAATTAATCCAACATTAGCACTGCATAGTGAAATTAAAATAAAACGATAAAAAGGACATGAAACTGTTTAGAAGAGCAATTAAACAGTGACGGAGAGACTCGTATTATAACTTAGGGAAATGTAGTGTTCTCTATTTTAGAGCGTTCTCCACTGGACCCTAAACCCATCACAGTAACAACAAATTTCGGCATCGCTGGCTTTCTAAACTAACAAGACAACAAGAGCTGGCAGAAATTGCATCACTATTTCCAGGCTTGCAGTTAAAAAGAAATCAGTTTATTGACACATGCTTGTGTCTGTGCTTCAAAATGTTAGGAAAAGTCTCCTAACAATGTAACTGCGCAGAGTCCTGCTGCATGAGACAGCTTTGTCTGGATGATGTTACACACTTAACCATTGATTTCACTTTTTATGAACAATTCACAAACCTTTTTGATGGCTCTGGAAGTGAGCACTGTTACCGTCGGCTGCTTTTGGGTGCCAAAAAGCAGGGAAACCCACCCAGAAGAAAGAAATACACACGTGGAGCTTACAGTATGCAAGGGCCTGGTTGAGAACCTTAAGAAATATTTCATAAAATTTTACCAAGACATTGAAAAATATATATTTTTACCTGTATGGGGAAGTAGAAAAATATCATTTTTAATTATAGCATTACATTAAGTACAATTTGAATATAAGAAATTACCCCAGATTACAGAGACAATAAATGCTGAAGAGCTAAGAGATCCAGACTATTCCAAGTCTTTGGCAAAAATATGACTACTTTTAAAGTCTTTTAAACTCCTTCTTCTGCATTTCACACTGATTCATTGATGAATCATTCAATCTGCTGTGGCCGAAACGCTTGTCATACAAACTGCTTAATTGATTGCCCTAAAAATGATTGTAAACGGCATAATGAGAAGCATTGTTGTGATGACATGCTGAAGGCGGAGTGTCAAAACACTTAGGAGCTTCTTAAAGAGACAGATGCACAATTTCAAGGCGACAAATTATAAAGTCAATTGTCTTTTAAGTCATGTTTAATATATTCAGCATTTTCATAACAACTGAAGTAGTTACTCGATTGTACTATAAAATGCCACTATTTGCCTGGAAAGTCAATATAAACTTAGATCAGTTTATGCGTATCTGAGACGACTCAGCTCAATATCCTGGTAAGATAATCATTACTGATAATATGCCACATAACCTCACTGAACCTCACAGAAATGTAAAATATTTTTACTCTGATAACTTAGCTGGTGTTCCTCTGCTGCACCGTCTATCTGACCTGTCAATATCCTTTACTGACAGCTCTGAGCACAACAGCTGTCAGCAATGTCAGCTCAATGGCATGAGTCATAACAATACGGCAAAGGAAGAAACTGAAACTTTTTACTGTTTCTTTTCTTTTTTAAGATAGAATACTGAAATGAATCTTGTTTTTATTTCACAACATAATGGAGTTGAAGCCTTGCTGGCTGATTCTAACACCTAGTTACTTAATTTTGCTGATGCAGTGGTGTAAATTTAATGCAGAATTATATATTTTCAATATATTATCTATATTTATTTTTTCCCAATAATATATTATATTACCTGTTTGCTGCATTTTTGCCAAGCTTATTAGATGCATAAATATTATTGTCACTTGATTTCAGGACCTTCCAGCAGTATTTTATAAAGGCTTAAAGGTTTCTCTGCTGCTTTTTACAGATAAAGCAGCAGAGAAACTAAAAGTTTTGTGTGATTTTGGACTATGATCCCCTCTGCTATTACCAAGTAGAGAGTAAAATATCTGTCTTTAGAAGTCAAGCTTCACTTTCTTTTTCTTCACCGCTGAGTTTCACTGTTGGATTTTTAATGCTTGGCAGGAAGTAACAGCATCAGAGCTTCTTTTGTGAGTCGTGCTGCCTTATGAGCCTCAAAACCCCTCTGCTGAGAGCAAATGGAATCAAAAGAGTTTAACTGGATCCATCTGCTAAAAAATAAAATAAATAAACTTGTCAGACTTTATACAGCTGAGAGCTTTACAATTTGATTAATTATTTTATCTACTGTTAAACTCTGAAAATAGCGACTGAATCTAATCTGCTGTCTCTGTTATCAAATCTGAAAATACAGAATCTTTCATGCAGGGGTCATGATCATAAAATGATCTTCAAATTTGAGCTAATGGACGCTTGCTAAGCATAAAGCTCACACTAAAAGCAGGTTTTATAGCCGTAAAAGAATACTTTACACATGCTTCCTGTGACAGGTTTGCTGTGTTCTGACCCGTAGCCGCTGTAAAAGAGATTAGCTTTACATTCAATAACAGAACACAAGCTACAGCCGTTAAATGTGAAGTTAATTGTTCAGTTAATTGCATATTATGTCACATTTGGAGGCAGCGTAATACAACAGCTGATTACATTTTATAGCAGGTAACCAGACGCACTTGCTTTAAATGCTTAATGCTTGGATAATCTTTTTTTCATTTGTCTTGGGAGTGCTGACTGAGCACGTGAGCTTGTCTTTGGCACTTGTATTCCTATAGGAAATGCAAAACTAACAAAGCAATGCCAAGTGTCGAGGGACTCGGCTGTTGTTTTTTATGTTAGCTCTATGCAAGTTTTAGAAAGAGAGAGAGTTTGTTTTTAGCTCAAGTTATTCAGTTTGTTTTATATATTTGGTGTAAACTGACAAATTATAAGAAGAGGGGATAAATGTTCACTTCACTAACACTTTAAATCTACTGAATGCACCTTTATGTGCACATTTCAGAGAGCAACTAATCAGTCCAAGACATCCAGATCCGTCCCTGATTCAGACTTGCTGTCATTGTAATTACTGTACAGCGCTTAAGGACTTTGCTATTTGCATAATTGATTCTTTTATCAAGGCACGTCTCGCTATCTCTCTCATATACAATCTGTTACGCCAAATGGATTTTTCTAACAAGGGCAGATCTGAAGCTCTGATTCTGTTGTCTCCCTCTCACTGCGTTTCTTTTCATCTCCTTTTGGAGCAAACACCTCCGTCTTTCCGATCATCATACTCGCATTTTCTTCAAAAACTTTTTGTTCTTTCTACAACAAAAGGTGACCATACCTCCTAAAATCCTTCACATTTCATTAGGAAACACCTGAGAAATACAATATCAGAAAATATTACAATGAGGATATTTTTGGTATGATGATAAAAGTTGTGATATGTGCTTATTTTCTTATTTGCCCTTCCATCACCTTGTGTGACCTGTAGCATTTTGGACAATGCCATTTGTGTCCGGTGTGAACATCTGCAGCCGTAAAGCTCAGTCCAACAGGCTAATGATTACGTTAACATGCAAATAAGAGTTTTGAATATTATCAGGACACTTTGGATATGTTAGCCAGCAATTATTGAACTCCAAAAGAGTCCTTTGTGATACGAATACTGTGGACACAAATATTGTAGTGACATATTTGCAATAGATTGTGTCTGTAGCCCTACACAGACATCAATGGGTTTTTTTATGAGATTTTACGTGACAGAAACTCAACGTTGTGGTTTTTCAGCTTTAAACAGCAGCTTAAGATCAGTCAGACTGCATGGAGAAGAATTATGAGCTTCAGTTTACAAGTCCTTAAACTTGTAAACTTTACAAGCTGCTATGTTTAGTTGCCTTGTTGGAAGGTGAATCTAATTCCAAGTCTAAAGTTTTTTAAGTTTCTGGCAGGTTTTCTTCCAGCATTGTCCTGTATTTCTCCTCAAATGTCTCCATATTGGTGGCATATTTCCTGTCGTTACTGAAAAAGAGAATCCCCGGAGCATGACATCTCCACTGCCCCTGTTTACTGTCTGTGGTGTGTTGGGTCATGTTGGCCAAAAACGTTAAGTCTCATTTAGGTTAGTTTGCCTTTGACTAGTAAGTCAGTTTAACAGAGGTGTAATAAGAACAAAAACAGCCCAAAAGATTCACTTTATTTACTAATTATGTGACTTCTGAAGGTAGTTTCTTTTTCTGTGGATTGTCTTTAGGGGAATCAAAGTAAAAAAAAAAAGAGTTGTTAATAGTAAGATATAATATATTTCTTTTTTTATGAGCTACTTTGTCTTGTTTATGACATTAACAAAAACAAGAGCTAGTGATTGTAACATGATAATCCTAAGATTACCTTTTTGTTTCATCTATTGCTGTTGTCTTTTTTCTGCTCTTCTTTCTTCTTCTTGAATCTTTTTCTCTTTTTCCACCTCCTCCACACCTTTCTCCATCTTTTTACTCCACTGCTTCCATACTTTATTTGCAAAGTGTGCACATCAAGCAGCTCAGGTTTCTCGTTTCATCTGTCTCAGGCCCACCAGCTACTTCTGGGAGAAGGCGGAGGGAGAGCTCCCCCCACTGGCCAAAGCCGACGGTGCTTTCTTGTCCTTTTCAGTGCTCAACAAATCAGATAATGGCATGTACATCTGCCATGCTGCCAACGACGTTGGGAAAGGCAGAGGGAGCTACACACTTCAGGTTCAAGGTAAGGGGAGAAACACTGAGGAGAAGTGGGGATTTATGTTGAGGCAGGGATCTTTTACATTTCTTCATGTTCTTTTATTTTTATTTCTTCTGTTGTTTGTTGTGGCTTTGCTTGTACGTCCATCTTTTTTCTCTTCTGATTTCCTTTTTTTGTTTTGTTTTGTTTTTCTCATCCAACCGTGCAACCATAACCACCCAACCGCTTTCGCACATTGTTGCGCCTCTTTCCCCTGGCTGTTGATGTGCTGTGTTTGTTCAATGCGTTGGTTGGTCTGTTTGTGTTTTTTTTAAATTATTATTATTATTGTTACGCTTTGCTTGCCTATTTTTCTTTGCCTTGTAACACATATTCCTCCACCCGACCCACAAAGACGACCCCGACTCCTCAAACACAGTTACCCCCACGTTTTTCCCCACTTCTGTCTCTCCCTCCTCCCCACCTGACGTCTTCCAAGGCTCAGGGTCAGACTTCAGTGACTTCATCTCCACCTTTTCCCCTGACTCCTCCCCTTCGACGGCTGTGATCTCAACCACCATCCCGCCATCTTCCACCACCACCACCCTCTCCAACGCCCTTTTCCCTGACCTGCCCTTTTCCCCTGACTCCTCCCCTTCGACGGCTGTGATCTCAACCACCATCCCGCCATCTTCCACCACCACCACCCTCTCCAACGCCCTTTTCCCTGACCTGCCCTTTTCCCCTGACTCCTCCCCTCTCATCCCTCCATCCCCTGCAACTCCCTCCCTCTCATCCCTCACCCCCTCAGTTTCCGTCCAGACGAACGGAGTTTACACTTTCACAGGTAAAACCAGTTCCACACTTGCACTCACACAAGACGTTTAGTAATGGAGTGGAAAGAGTGGGGAGGGGGGACATTAAAGTCACTGCTTTGTTATTTTCTCCTTCAATACACAGACTGCATAGCTGTCAGAGACACTTGTTTTATATACAGACCCATGCAAACGATCCCAGAAAACACACAGTGATGGACAAAAATTTGATTTTTGTGGCTGTTTGCAGCTATTTCATGCTTTTTTTTTTCTTGTTGTCCTCTTTCCTCTTATTGATATTCCCTAATCCTTAACCCCCGTATCCTCAACATGCACTCCTCGTCTTTATCCATGCATCCACTCGTCCATCCATCCATCCCTTCATTCATCCATCATTCATCTAAATATTCAACTGTCCATCTACTCATCTTGAGAAGGTGATGCACGCAACTTGACAGGTATAACTTTTTCCAGCAGTCTCATGTTTGTGTGGGTGTCTGTCGTTTTCAACCACCTGTCTGTGCATCTGTCTGTCTGTGATGCTGTCTTGTGTTTGTATGTCTGATTTTCTAAAAACTTACGCTGAAAAATGAATGAAATCCCCACCCACACAGCATACAGGTGCTTCTTAATGCATTGGGATGTAACTGAAAAGCCCATAACAGTCATTTTAATTCAAAAAGGGAAATTCACATGTAAATTAACAACACAGATGGATACACCTTAAAGGGGACCTGTTAAGAAAAATGTCACATTTTGCAAGCTTATACTCTTCCAAGTGCTGAAACAAACTCACATAGCTTTTGGCAATAAGTTAATGTTTTTTGGTCTCTGGAAAATGAGCTGTTTCAAAAACCTCCCTTTTGTTGTGTCACAACCGAAGGGCACTGTGCCGTTACCTAGCAACCCAAGCTGAGATCCAGTATGTTTGGTCAGCTGGTTTTACCGTTGCATTCACTGTACAATGGCTGCTGGAAAATGCAAATGTTTGTTGGTGACTTACCATCCAGAAACCACTTGCTACATTCTAGCTGGTTGTGCAGGAGGCTCCATTTCTGCTGTTCAAAGGTGTATAGTTGTATAAGTGTGCATTTGTTTGCAGTCATTGACATGTGTGAGTGTAAACATTGAGTTGGAGTGTGGCTGCTGCAGCATATTTGAATTTCAAGTAACAAGTAATGATTTTGTGCAAAACATGTAATGCACATGTTGGTCTATGGGCCTATAACCCATAGACCAATCATAACCTGTTCAAGGAAGTATTATTGGTCGCCCGTAAGCTTTTATTTTTTCTAAATTTAAAGAGTATATGTTACAGTTATTTGAAGCCCCACATTTAGCTTTTAAGAAAATTAGAAATTAGAACAACAAAATAAAAGCATGTTATGGCCTACCTACGCAATCATGGAATGGACTGCTGCCTTGACAGTCGATGTCTGTCCAGCAGTCAGACACAAAAATCCTCCACAGTGAGGATAAGCCACAAAATGTCCTTACTGAAAGAGCTGGCTGATCACAGAATGCTGCATCCAAGCATATTAATGGACAGAAAAACCTGGTGAGGATTCTCTGGGAGTGGACTGCTGCTGGTGACAAAACAGAATAAAATGGAAATAATCTTGCCTAAGATAAAAACATAAAGCCAGAACGTAATGTACAAGAAAAAGATGAGAAATGCCATGCTCAACAATGCAGGGGAGCTGAAGTCTGGTCACTAAGTGAACATACTGTACAGCGCATGGACATGGTTTTCATGAGGCCAACAACTCCTGTTTATTGGTCTATTAAAACACTGCATTATTATAACATTAACATTTTCTGAGTAACTGAATTTTGGAGTTTCATTAGCTACAACCCATAAACTTCAAAAATTATAAGAAATACACACTTGAGATATATCAGTCTATGTGTAATCAATCTGTGATTATATACATACGAGTTTCACTTTTCAAACTGAATTACAAACTTTTCGATGACGTTCTAGTTTATTGAGATGCACCGGTGCCTTCCTGTGGTTCTTGTGTTTTTTTCTGTCTGGTGTTCTGGGGAGAAAACAAATGTTGAACTCTGGAACAGGAAAATGAATTTTTGAAAGCACCACACACACGACGCACATGGACAAACCGCCTCTGAACACAACAAGACGTCACACACTCGCATTTCTCTAAGACATGCCAGCTAGCATGACCTCTTAAATGGTACAAGTCATTTACACATTGTTGCACTTCATGTGTGTGTGTTTGTGTATGTGTGTGTGTGTGTGTGTGTGTGTGTGTGTGTGTGTGTGTGTGTGTGTGTGTGTGTCAGTGTGGTATAGGGTGCGGGCGCTGGCTGTGAGTTGTTCTTGGGTCTTGTCTGCCTTCCTTTGATGCTGACAGCAGGATTTATTGGCTCATTCTCATTCTCGCCTCGTCAGCATGCCCCTCTCACCTCCACGCCGGCCATTCAGAGTGTGTGTTCCACTTTAAGTGTACTTTGTCTTTTTCTTCCACTTCTCCCTCACTCGTCAAGCTTTTCCGCTGTTCTGCTCTCTGCCGGTTAGCTCTTGTCAGGTCCTACACTTCTCTGAGAAATAGAAGTGCTACTCCTCCTTGCAAAGTTGGGTTCTCACCACATCAGCTGGTTGTGATCTCGTTCTTTTTTTCCCCCATCTCTGCATTTGTCATTGTATCCTGTTACTGTAATCACACGGGGTCTCCAAATAACCTTTGTCTTTTTTTTTTTTCCTTTTGTTTGGTCCTTCAAACACTCGCTTAATGGAATCCAACTTCTCCCCTTGATTTCACAAAGTGTTTTATGCTTTTTATGTCCCACACGTTGGGGAAGTGCCACTTCAGGATTGATTTGATCTGAGTGACTTTCTTACAAACACCCAGGGCTTTTATACAGCCTAAAGAGACAGGCGAAATAAATGCTGTGTCAAATAGTTTTGGCTGAAAACTGATACCTTCTCCAAGCCCTAAGAGGCCAAAATGGCCGATGTAAACAAAAGGGAATAAAACTTTAAATCTCTTGTGGATGAATTTGTAAGTAGTTCTACTTCGTCACAGATTAAGGAGGAAACACACAAGCAACTATTAACTATTGATTTACAAAATTCACAAAAAATATTTTTTTTCTGATAATATTAATAGCACATAATAAAATACATAACTAGTATTTACTAATAGGTGGTCATATTTATTATTACGTGTTATATTACTACATTTTTCTTTTTCTCATGGTTAATTGCTCTATGTTTGTATGTTTTTGTAATGTTAACTGTTCGATAAATATATTAAGTATACAAGTCATAATTACCATGATGACCCATAATGCATCTTCATTCATAAGGAGGCACTTTGAAGTCTTTTCTGGTTAAAGTAAATTGCTCAATATCAGCAGATTTAGGAATAAAAATGAAGGAGAAAACAAGGCAACTGTTTTTCTGATATATATTTAAAGCATCTTCATTCAGAGCAAAGTGGAACCAAAGTCAAATTTCTTGCTTGTCTGCATAAACCAGGTGAATAAAACTGACTATGACAACTCATGCATTAACTTTCAAGAGATTAAGATATTACTTGGCAGCCATGTTGACAATGTGATACCAGAAACAGTCCAATGACTGCTGCACTATCAGGATATCCTGCTCGTTTTGGACCCCCAACAAGTTTCTCTGTCTTTCTAAAACTTGCGTAGAGCTAGCATAACAATAAAACCGACAGCTGGGGAGATTTCACCCAACATCTGGAATTATGTTCGTTCCCGTTCACTGAAGGAAGCTGTAAGCTGCACATTTCTGTGTAAGTTAGGCACAAACAATTGTTAATGGAGGGTGATGAAATTGCGACTCTCTTTCTCCTGGCTTTGTTTTTGCTTCCCTGTTTTTGTCTTGTGAAGAAGGTTTGCCACAGTGGGTATTATATTCTGACATGTTTCTTTGCTCCCCTGTTCTTATCTTTTCTTTTTGCCTTCCCTCTGTCACTCTCCCCATTATTTTCTCTCGCTCTATTTCTGCTGCCTTTCATCATCTGTCTTCCATTTCCACCAATATTCATCCACCAACCCCATGTTTCTTTTCCTCTCCCCCATTATGATTCCTCTGCTTCTTATACATCGAGGAATGCTCTCTGTCTTGTCTTTTCTCTGTTTTCTTCTTATCTCCTCCAGCTTACTCTTACTCTTATATTTCCCTTCTCTCGGGTCCTAACTTCTTCTCTTCCTGTCATCCCGCCCCGCCTGACCTCCTCTGAAGACACGACAGCCATGTCGGGACCTTCAGGCATGGACCACGCTGTGATCGGAGGGGTGGTGGCTGTTATCGTCTTCATCCTGCTTTGCCTCCTCATCGTCCTCGGCAGATACCTCATCAGACACAAAGGTCAGCAGCTCTGCACAAACAAACCCGCAGACGCACTCATACATTCATGTATGAACATACAGAGAGACAAGCTGGCATACATGTGTGGATGCATGCAAAAATACGGCAACATATCATCCCCACATACACGAATATAGAGAGAATGACTGAGGGAATTTGAAATGTAGAGGACAGAAGATGACGACGGAAGTTTTTGACATTCTTAAAGTGTATCACATGTATTTTCGGTTTTTATGTCACATTAACATAAAATAGTGTTGTGTAAGGAAGTATAACATGGTTTTCAGTTACAAATACAAATCTGACATTCTTTTGAATGCAGGCCTTTCCACTCTGATACCCCTAAATAAAACCCTCTACAAAGAACTACCTTCAGAAGTCACTTAATGAGTAATTCAATTCCACCTGTGTGTAATTAAATCTCTGTGTAAATCTGCCAAGGTCAAGGTTTTAGAGGTTTGTTTGAGAACATCAGTGAGCAAACAGGAACATAACGACCAAAGAACAGAGCAGCCACGTTAGAAATAAAGAGGTGGAGAAATTTACATCAGGATTACGTTATCCTGGTCAGGATCCTGGTCAGGATAACGTAATCCTGACCAGGGATTACGTTATCCCTATCGCAAGATTTGAGCATCTCACTACTCAGTCCAAAAAGACAATAGTATAACTGCTGCCCCAATGACAGGTCAGTCAAAAGCAGCATTATTTTTGAAATGGAGCAAAGAAACCCATGAAATCTCTGGACAAGCTGCAGAAGTCCAACATAAAGACGCATCTGTTGGTAAAAAGGGAATAGTTGTATATTCTATAAATATACTTACATAAGAAAGGTAAGAACAAAGAGATTATTTAAATAAAACTAAAAGAAGTAGAAGTGTGCAATACTGTATATTTTGATAACAATTTAATACTGATACCAATACAGGTATATATTTTTAAAACAGGATACATCATCAAACTTCTGACTTTTAGGTGTTTTCTGGGTGTTCCTTTGAATTATTATTATTATTATTTTGGTAAAAAGAATTCAACAGGGAATTTGAAACTAAAGTATTAATCTCATCACACTAGTATCAATCCAATTCTCATACCGACATAGTTCCAGTGTTATCAGTATTTTAGATGGATCTGCCTGCCTCTAAGAGGAAGTCCTGTCTGCAGGGTTCCAGAGGCCATATTGGGAAAAAGATCAGACAAAAGTTGACACTGTTTGGTTTGCAGTTGGCCCTGAAACAGGCTCCTCATCATGATACATGGTGGAGACATTACACCGTTCCTCATCAGGGGCTTTGAAGCTGTTAAGGGTCAACGGAGGATGAAGCTAAATATAAGGCTCTTGGCGTAAGGAGGTTGGGGCTACAAAAGGAGACACCGACTATAAAACCAGACAACCACAGCTGTTTTCCTCTTGTCTGATTCGATCTGCCTAGTGCATAATTTTCCTTCAGCTTCATGATTATGCAGCATTTTGTGTTGGTCTGGTACATTAAATCTCAGTGAAGGCCATTGAAATGTGTGGATGTTACATAACAAGGATGCTTCCAAACAGGACATGGGGGGAACTGGGCACTGTTTTAAAATCCATTATGGTGGATGTGTTGCTTAAACTGGGCTGTGAGGCGTTGAGCCGACTGACGTGCAGAACCCAGATGGCTGTTTTGTGACGTCATTAGGGCTCTTTAAATCAGAGGAAGCCTGCTAGATGAAATGTAAATGTATCTGCAGCTTTTGTCACAAGACATATGGTGACCTAGATAAAAAATATACTGCAATTTGGAGGGAAAAATCTGAATAATTTGAAGAAAACAGTGAGTGATAGAAGTATTAGATGAGTTTTTATGACTAAAACTTTTACTTTGGTATTAGTGGGTGAAATATCTTTATATCTGATGACCTCATTGACAGATCTGTGCAGTCTGTTCAGACCTCCTGTTTCCTGCATGTTGAAGCCCCAGTGATACAAGCTGATGACAACTCATTACTGTTCATTACATGTTTTGTTTACTCAGCTTTCTTTCGCTTCAGATTTCGTCTTACTGGCAATTAATTAAGTCACAGTTATTTGGGCAAATGAATAAATCATACTGTTGTGATGGTAAAATTAATTACTCCCATCCCAGAGTGACTTATTAACTCAGTGGTTAAAGTTTTGTGAGAACAGTAAAATGTATTTAGTTTCTTTCTGTTACACGTTTACCTTTTGTCCCTAAAAGAAATAACCTTTTATGCTTCTAATGGGAATCGTAGAACAATAACTGAAGATTACAAGAATATGATGTAAGAGCTTGAAGATTCTCCAGAATATTGTGTGATTACTGCTTGTGCTCAGGTCCATTTTATTTCCCAGGTCACTCTGTCCGGCTCAGTTTAGGTTCCTGTTCAGCTGGGACTCACAAAAACATCCAGAGACTGAACTGATTGCCTCTTTGAGCAAAATTCAAATCAATGTATCCTAACTAAACAGCTCAGTATTCACAAATATGCCTCTAGTGAAAGTTTGTCTAAATATGTAGATTTATTTTTGTTTAAATAATTGTAAATGCCTGCTTTGTTATATGTAAGTCAAATTATGAACTTACTGCTGTAAAAGTGTGTTTCCCTAACAAAAGCTATGCAAAGCTAAGTAAACACAGTTTATGTTGCTGCATTAAATATTATACCTTATACATACATGACCAACTCTGGCTTTAATATTAACCAGATAAAATGCACTACTATTAGAAATGAGCTGCAATGCCTCCACAACTGTTAGCAGACAAAATCAAAACCAGTTTAGTCATTATTGCGTCGTATCGCACTAAAAATATAATTCATCCTTTCATTTTAGTATGTTCAGTTAGGGGTGCAAAGAAAATCCTAGAATTAAGATATTGGTTGTTAATTTTTCTTTGTTTGCTCTTTAAAAAAAAAAAGCCCCAACAGTAACAGCTATCGAGCTTTTAGTGAAAAACGTCTTTATGTAACTGAAACAATAGTTACATATATTCATGCTTATTAACATGAAGCAGATGCCCATTCTTCCTCTCATGTTGGAAATGGAAAAGAGAACATCCCATTAAAGTAAGACAGATGTGTGTCAAATTATCATAATTTGGGAAATGGTTATAGGAAAGACATCTGAACACATAATGTTGAAGAATTAACTTTAATATTTAAAACAACTGCAGCAGAGAAGAAATGTCAACATTTCTGAGTCGCAGTAAACAGGGGCATCCTACAGTCACCTGGTCTCCAATAGCAACCATTAGACACCATCTACATGCAAACTGAATATCTGAAAATATAAACTGGGACATCATTTGGTCTTTTAACAGCATAATGATCCCAAACAAATCACCTGATGGTTGATTGTGGCTATTGATCGTAAGCTGCAAACTTTGGCTTTAGAAGAGCAAATTTAGATATAGTATGATTTCAGCTGTACTTTATAATAAACTGACTTTGGTTGGTGTGGTGAACTTAAACAGTTTAGTTTTTCCCCATCAGAAAGGCACTGGTGTTGGGATGCTAGGTTTAGTTTGCTGCCAGATAATCAAGATCATGCAGAAACATAGCAAAACTTAAAAACACCATTGCTGCATTCTGGGTTTAATGGTTTTATGGTCATTTTAGTGGTTTATATAAACATAAATAAGTAGGCGGGTTCTCCCCACATCCTTAACCAGAATGTTGAAGCAGTGCCAGACTTCATTCCCAGCATCGCCACACAGTTGATCCTTTATTACTTTATCTCACAGAAAGCAGCTCTATGGTGATATTGAAATGTCAATTCTGCATATTCTGAATAACAATTAGCTCAAAAAGATTTTGGATAGTAAATAAGAAACATCATTAGCTGGTAGATTGATGTTTCTGTTGGGCTGATTATCTGTCTCCGCCGCAGTAGTTCAGACAATTAAACCACCAGAAAAACAACGAGCCGCTGAAAGCTCTCGTTGTATTTGCTTCGGAGCCACACTGGAACATGTTGACACAATCTCATCTCAAACATCCCATCCTACTGGGGACCTTCACTCCCAGTGGTTGACTTTTATGGCCTCTACAATCCTTCTACTCCACCCTTCTCCCCTCTGTCTCCGGCTCACTGGGTCACGCTTTTTTTCTCCTCGTCCCACAGGAACGTATCTGACCCACGAGGCCAAGGGTTCCGACGACGCCCCTGACGCCGACACGGCCATCATCAACGCCGAGGGAGGTCACTCCGGAGCCGAAGAGAAGAAGGAGTACTTCATCTAGATGGGCGGGGGGACAGAGTGGTGGTGGGGGGGAGAGAAAGCGAGGAAGAGGAGGAGGAGGAAAATTTGGAGGATCCAGCTGGAGGAGAGAGGAAAGGAAAAACCTCCATTTGTTTTCACAACAGCTTCAGTTCTTTACTCTGTTGAAGGGATGTTGGCAAGGGAAGGGAGGTAAAGAACTCTGGGCGGAGCTTCAACTACCCTCTTTGCATTGATACAGGGGAGTGAGATCTTTTGCACTGACATTCGGATGAACTGAAGTTACACACACACACACACACACACACACACATGCAAACATGCGCACACATACATGATTCAGTTCTTGTTTTTCCGCAGACTTGAACGCTCGTAGATGCTCAGATTAACAAAGCCGAGCTTCCTACTAACACATCCTGATCCATTATCACATCCTCTCACAAGCATCCCTTTTTTCAACTGTCGGCGCAGTGAAAAAGCTAAATTGTAAACCACATTCTGACATCGTCACGACCTCTTTCCTCCTCCACAGCACAGCCCACAGTGGGTCTGCCCCCTTCACGTTCCTGTCCTCATGCTCTCTATCAGAACAAGGCAGAGTCCCTCCTTAAACTTGCTTAGGGTAGACAAAATTATTGATTGGAAAACTTCATCTCCTTCCGTCTTTTTTTAATCTTTCTATGCCATCAAACTGCTTTGTGCGGACGTTCAGATTTTTCCACAACGCACCACCACAAAAACTTGCAAAAACAGCATTCCCACCTTGCGCTGCCAAGCCCAGGGCCTCCAATATACATATATAAATATATATAAATATATAAATATAGAGTTATATAGCATTCTTTTTACTTGACAGAAAACATTCGGTGTGTTGTAAATACACTTTCTGTTATTTTTCTGCATTCTGTCACTCTTCGGCGCCCCCTATCCTCTCTCATGCAGCCCGTTACTGCATTACAGCAACTTAAATACTCAAAAATAAAATAGAAAAAAAAAAGCCTGCCTGTTTTTATTACATGCGTGAAAATTCAGAGTCAAAACAATCATTATCTTTGGGCTAAAAAAAAAAAAAAAACATGTAACAACCATAATGTTGCAATCAAAACTAACCTTAACTGCAAATATTTGTACAAAGAATGTTTTTCCTATTGGTTTGTTTGTGTTTTCTAAATTTCTTTTTGGAATTTTTTAGGGAGATTTTGTGTTTCCTGTCAGCGTCTTGTTGTGTTACCGTCAGTGTTAAGAGTTTACAGTGTCTGCTGGTTTGTCAGTTCAACAGTCTTTTTGTTTGGGCATTTCTTTGCTTCTTTTGTCGTGCCGTGCTCCGTGGCGACACTTTCTCCCCTGCGTTGTCAAACCTTCAGCTCTAATCGGTGGCCAAGTCTGAGTTAAACATTCAAAATGAGTTTAATAGAGTTTCCTTCTTGTCTTTCATGTAGTTTCCCTTCAAACTCAGCCTGCTGAACCTGACTTTCACTTTCAGATCGCCGTTCTTGGCAAGGCCATCTGGCTCTGAGTCCGCTGAATAGGGGCTTCACTGGCTTTCTCTAAGAACCTGCCATGTTTGCTTCTCCGGGGTTGAGAAAATGCTCACAGGACCTAACAGGGCTGTCTACATGCATTATAGCCAAGTTCCTGGAAAAAAAGGGGGGGGGGGAAATCTCTTCCTGCTATGGTTTTCTTGTGTGAGCAGGACTCATTCGCCAGCTTAGCGAAAGCTTCCCATAAACGAACGCTGCTTTATTAAGGTTGAGACTTGGCCTTGGCAGTAGCAAGCCCCACTTGGCCCAGGCATGGAAATTGATTGCAATCTAACTAAGAGCCTCTGGCTGCAGGTTGTACACATGCCAAGGCTCTGTTTGGCCAGACGAGGATTTCAGGCTGCTCTCACACTCAAGAAAGTCATTTAGGGAACCTAATGTCCTCTTCTACTTTTCTCCTTCTCCCTCCACTCGTCTATTTCTTTTCATACTTTAATCAATCAAGCTGTCTGTGTCCTGATCCACCTTCACCCTGTCTCCCCTCCTCTCGTTGCTCCTTCCTTCCCCTCCCCTCCATCTCCGATACATGTCCAGAATCTCCTTGCCCGTCTTTAGCTCAGTGAGGAGCCTGTGTAGACGGAGCTGTGTGAGCTGAAAGCTCTCTGCGGTCGTGGCATGTAGGAGATGAATCACTGATCAGTTTTACAACCTTCACTACAAAAAAACCCACAAAAATATTACCAAGTATTTTTGTCTGGTTTCTAGTGTAAATATTTTTAGGACACTTGAAAAATGACAAAACTAACATACAAATAACTTTTCAGCATTGCAGGTTGTTTTAAGTAAGTAATTCCACTGATGGATTTTTTGATATATAACAAGATATTTCCATAATATAAGTAATCTGCCAGTGGAACTACTTTTCTATCATGATTAAGGAATTATTGACTTATAATAAAACAAGCTCCTACATTTTGCTGAAAATTTGTTTGTAAGTTAGTTTTGTCTTATTTCAAGTGTTCTAAGATATTTAAAAATACGTGGTAAGAGTTTGTGTTTTTGCAGCATTCCTGTATTAAGTGTTGTCTGCTACCTAAGAGGATTTAGTGAGTTTTTACTGAAAGAATTATTGGCTGGTATATGTTTAATTGATGCAGATAATAGTGTTTTTGGTATTTTGCGATACAGCCATACTGTCGCCGCAAAAGTACAGAGTCATGGGTTCGCACCTCCTGCTGCTTGAAGTTTGCATTTTGTCCCTGCACCTGCCTGAGTTTCCTCCAGGTTCTCCTTCTGCAAGTCCAAAGACAGGGTGCAGTTAGGCTGCGAGTGTGCATGAGCAAATCATCATCCCTGTTCGTCTCTCTGTGTTGGCCCTGTGATGGACCAGAGGCCTTTCCGGGGGTGTGCTCTGCCTTTGCCCTGTGGCAGCTGGGATAGGCTGCATCCCGGGCGTACAGCCCCTACAGCAGTGGTACCCAGCCCTGGTCCCCAGAGTCCACTGTCCTGCGTGTTTTGGATCTTCGGTTTCCAATAAGCACCACCTCTGTAAATACTAATGTTGCCAAGCACCAACATGCTGGCGCTTTTTTCTTTACTGCATCCGGATTTTGACTTGGCAGTTTCTACCTATTGGGTCTGGATGCTCGGATCAAGGATTTAATTATGCATCCCATTATTCGTTACTTGACATTTTCAAATGGGAAGGATGGAAACGAAGGTCTTCTGTAGTTTGCCAGCAACCTGAACCTCAAAATCCAATATGGCTCCAGCCAGTTGAAAGCAAAATAATAAACAGTTAATTGCACATTTGTCAGTGTGCATCTTATTAAGTTTAGTATCAGATTGTGGTCTGCAACCTCTTCTAGTGAGCAAATAAACAAAAAACAATAAATAATAATAATTATCCTTTTACCGGCTGAATTATGTTATGCATAAAATGCATTTTTCTGTCAGATTCTAAAACAGGTTATTAATTTACATATAGCTCATGTCAGAAAACATGCATTCAGATCTCTGGTATGAAAATCAGCTGAATGAGGCATTATTTCAAAGGACTTTGACTGAGAGATGTCAGCAAGAAGCTCCCAGGATAATCTGTGTTGAAACTGTGTGAACGAATTCATTATTGAAAACTTAAACTTCTTGAAATACTAACAAATACTCCTTTCTTTTGAGCAGCTTCTGTTTGAAGCTAAGATTATTCTATATTCAATTCAACTCAAAAATTGGGTTAATTTTTGTTTTTGATCCAAACAAAAATTAAATATGGTTTAAATGACTCATATAATCCAAGCGTCTTCAAAGAGTCGTTTTGGATGTTGATGCTGGGGGCAGAAAAAATGAATCTAAAGGATCCTCTGAATGAAGACTGTTAGTGTTTGACAGCCACAACATGAAAACAGCTCAATATTCAGGTGACAGAGATGGTATTTTACAGCAACATGTCTTGGATAATACCACCAGGTTTTGGCCAGGCCTGCTACTCCACCTCAGTTGCTTTTGCCGCTCCTTCCTAAATCTCTGTCTGGCCACATTTTTTAGAAAGCCGGGCAGAGAGATGTCAGGGTCCACAGGATGTGATCCTGGTCACCTCCTTTTCAACTCCTCTGGGATTTTGAGTCTGGTATTATTCAAGCTTTTGAGATGCTAATCATTTGCATCTGGTCACAAAAAGTATATCTTGTTGCCACAGTTACGCATTTTAAGTTTCTGAAAGTGAAACAAGAGCACATTTCTTTCCTGCTTCACAACATCATCCAAAACCAGAGGGGTTAATTGTCCAAACATGTAATGTCTCAAACATCAATAGTGACAAATGTCTTCAAATCAGAAGTAACAGGCACTTTGCTGCCACCATTAGTGGTACAACTCTACAAATTAATTTCTGTAAAAGGATAATAATTTATTTTTTCTTAAGAAAAATCTGAATCTGTATATATCAATTCCTCCTAAGGAGTTGTAGCTTAAGATTTCATTGGTGACGTTTACCTTCTCCTCTCAGTAATTAATATCTTTAGCTTAAATTTAAAGTTTAATGGAAACAGAACTAGGAAGAACTGAGAGAAATGTTACATTACCCATAAAAAATAACCCATAAAAAATACTTCAGAACTGAATTTGGAGTAATAGAAACAACATAATTGTTGTGGAAATATCTAATGACCACAAATACACCACAAATAAATTCACTTTGTAAAAAAATGTTCCATGTCTTCAGTTACCAAAATCTGGTCAAATGTGGTCAAGATGAGCAAACAGGGAAAATCTTTGTGAATATCCCAGTTAACACACACCGGGGTTCAAAAACAGGCTTCTGAGGAATTTGGTGGCACGCTAAGGATGCAGTCTTTGAAAGTCTATGTGCTGGAGCAACACGTCTTCAAAAAGTGAAGGATATGAGGATCAGGGTCTGGGGACCATTACTCTATGGGATAAAGCAGGCATAGCTGATGGATGGGTATTTTTTTTTTTAATATATATATTTTTTTATTTTGAGTTTGACTCAGCTTTTCATCTCTGTTATGGTTGAAGAGCAGAGACTCAGCTCTGTCTCAGAGAGCTTGTTGCACACTTCAAAGACGTTAGCATTGAACTGTATTTAGCCTCAGTCCACTGTAACTCTGCTCATGCTGGAGAGAGGAAATACTTGCCTCCTACTTAAAGTATAATGTCTTTTTAAAAACTAATGGACCTGTATTTGCCTGTAATTTATCGTCCTGTTCTTTGTCTTAGTTAATGTGCTAGCATGTAGCTTGCATGAGGAATGATTGGAAAGTGTAGATACTGCTGGAGACGAGAAGTGCCGACAAGCCACTCTCCTGAGACTTCGCTGCTGCCCTCTGTTCTGCAAACATACGCCGTGTCCCAGATAAATCCGCCTGTAACCTCCTCATCTCTGCCCACCAACCAAGTACGACTCTTTCTGCTCTTTCCTCCAACACCCCAACATGAAATCTGCATTTGTTGTTGAACTGGGACGCGCAGTCAGTGAAACTGTATTTTCTAGCTTGGGTGTGATGGCGACTAACTGTCCCCAGGTGCCAGCAAAGCATCGCTTCTCTTCTCCGTCTTCAGTCAGTTTTAGCCGGACTGTCCCTCACTCAGAGTCGTCATCTCCTCTTTAGGCAGTTGCAAACAAGCTGCCTGTCATTTTCCCCCCATTTTGTAGAGGAAACTATTTACTTTTTAAGTCATGTTTTTTAAAAGCTGTGCATAATCATCAGTGTTTGAGTTTCAGTTTGGTTGATTTATCTTTTTTTTATTTTTATTATTATTATTATTATTTAGATTTCCCAAAACTTGAATGTTAGAATTGTAGTATTTGCATTTATTTTCTTGTTTCAGCAACCATTTTTATATATTTTCCTGTATATAGTGTTGCCTTTCTGGAAACTCTTACATGCAGACCACACTTTACACACACACACACTATGGGTGCATTAACACACACATACATGAATATGCACAGCAGGTATGTCTGCTCCTGTGGTGTGTGTGCATGTACTTTAGTGTGTGTGTGCCTGTGTTTGTGGATGAGTGTGTATCAAATGACCCAAACAGACTCCAGAGACACTCTTAATGTGTTGTGTTCACAAAAATATTTTTATTTCCATGAATAAAGAATAAAAAAAAATCCTATTTTTTTTCTTATTTGGATGATAAGTCTTCCTTTTGAGTAAATATTCATATCACATGGAAGTAGTGTTGTTGTGTGTGTTAATTTGTATAAAAAAGGCAGATGATGTCATCAGTGCGCGACCCTGACAGATGCTGTGATGGGGTTTAAACTGTTGGCTGAAATGTTCCAAAAAATATTAGGTTTTGTTTTGTTCTTTTCTCCTTCTCTTTTTGTTAGAATATGAGTTGAGTTGTTGACTTCAATAAACATGAATTTGGGTTAATTTCATCTGCTTGCTGCTGGTTCTTCCTGATTAGAAAGGATCTCATTTAAACTGTGTTGCTGGTTGTAAGTGAAGGATTTGCCGTGACACAGTTCGTCTTTGGAGACGGACAGTTTCTCTGTTTACACTGATGAGAACTGGAAACAGAAAATAAACATACCTGATGTCCTAAACAAAGCAAAAGCAAATGACAAACTTGAAGTTTATCCCTGTTGCTTTACAATATTAAATTCAAATATTCACATTACAGGGCAAATAAATGTATTACAATGATGATGGTAACATATATGCACTTCATAACTCTATAAATAAACTGATTTTTCATCAAAATATATTTTGATGAAAAATCAACTGCACTCTCCTCTCTCACAGGACACAGATGCAAACAATTTCACAAAACAATACCACCGAAGAAGAAACAAAGTGGAGGATCTACTGATCATAAAGTTACACACTTACAACAAACACAGTGGTTTCCGTTGTGTTTAGGGCCAGATATAAGAACTATAACAACAGAAGACATTTTGTATAATAATAAAGTACAGACACAACCAGATTACATGTTAATTCAGGATGTGTATGTTGAGTTTTTGAAGAGAAAAACACATTAAAATATATTATTATTGTTGTTACTTTTTTTTACTATGTCTCACAATATTACTTTCAACTAGCATCAACATTTGAAAACAAAAGTAAAAAATTGTTTTGGAATAAAATGCTTTTCTTTGGGGAAAACATTTTTAACACTGATATTTAATACCAGTTATAACTAAATAAATAAAGTAAATAAGAAACATAGTTTTGGACCTCTTGTTAGGCTGTCTGAACTGTCTACGGGTCAAGCAATGCTTTTGATTCAGTAACAAATCTAATGTATCGTCGAAGAATTTGATAGGACTCGTTTCACATTTTTTGCGCCTCGCAACTACACAACATAGCCACCAGAGGGCAGTACAATACAGTGAGTCAAGCAATCTTGATTTTAAACTGCAAATTGTGTTGGCGAGTAAATTGGAAAGCCCCTTTCCCATTTGTTCTTTCAGTTTAATTTGTTAAAGGAGTATTTCATGTACGGATATTAAAACTTTTCCTGCTAAAGCATACTTACATTACATATGTTTTATTTTTGTCTGACATGAGAAATCCATCATTTTTAAGTATTTTCACCATGTCTCATTTGTTCCAATATATCAGCAAGTAATAACATAAAACTGCTGCAATTTTCTGTACTTTAGGATAAAACTGAGACGACAAATATTCACCCATAACATTAATATGATATCCGATTTCAAAAACTATACAATCACTGATAGTGCACTGCACGCACACGTTTCTGGAATTTACACAAATTAGCTGCTGGAAATAATTTCTAAGCAAACACTCTGCTCGTGCTCTCCAATAATCCTTATTATCCATCAATAACTTGTATAGTAATTTTCAGATTTTAAACTTAAAGGGTCTCGTAGTTGAAGTTTTGAGGGCCAGACCGCTGTTCCTGGCGCCGTCGCTGCAGCGCCCCCTGCCCCTCTGTGGAGCATTAACTGAGATTTGGAGAGGGGAGGCGTGGAGGTGCTGGTAGTACATGAGAGAGGGGATGTGTGCTACTGATTGTCTGTGAGAGGGGAGGGGGGCAGAGACACGCAGAGAGACAGAGAGGGTTAGAAGAGGGAGAAAGGAATTCAGAACTGTTTAAATGGGGATCCAGAGCGCAGCGCGGACAGCGGCTGCGGACTGAGCCAGCAAAACAAAAACAACAACAGAAAAAGTGGAGACAGATTTATTTTACGCACGGGAAAAGTGGGAAGTAGTTGGAGGAAAGGAGAAAGAGGCATGGGATTTTTTTCCTCTAAATGTGTCCTGTTTGACTCTCATGACTCAGAGAGGATTACTGTTAAACTCAGCCGCTCTGCAGGAATTGATGGTGTCTTCTGAGAGAAACGGAGCCGAGGGGAGGAATCTGAATGCGCTCGGCTGAACCATGCCAGGCTTGTGGATCCTAACTTTGGCACTCGCTTTCAACCAAGGTGAGTAAAAGATGAAGACCCAGAGCAGAGAGAAAAAAAGAACGATGGACATCAGCGAAAAGTTTGCTATTAATTGTTTTCTTTTGTTTTCCTTCTGCTGCTGTGCGCTCTGAGGGTCTCTTTATGTCTCATGGCACTACTTGCAATGCGCGTTTTTATGCCTGGCATTAAATCCACGCGCGTGACTCCGTGCGTGGAAATAGTGCTTCAGATTTAAGCATCATTCATACATCCCCACAGACGGGAAGGAAAAATCATTTTTTTGAGGGGGTGGGTTGTTTCTGCTCATATCCAGACGCAATCGGCGCTTTCCCTTTTCTTCCGTTACGCGTTTTCTTGGGCAGAGATGTGGACCATCTGCACACGACATTGCCTTGACGTGACCTTTAAAACGCATGGATGGGTAGATTTGGCTGGAACAAATGCGGTGCGGGTCAACGCAACGCAAGCACACGCACGCGCATTCACGCACAATTTGCGCATAAGCTGTCAGTGTGGGGATGATTGATGAGGCGAGGATCTAATGCACAGTCTGGTCGCTGGGCTTTAACATCAGGCTCATTGGATCATTTTTCAATGCGTGCGCGCACGAGCTAGACACGTGCCTTTAGTCACACTGGTGTATTTTGTGTGTGTGTGTTTGTGTGTAGGTGTGTGTGTGTGTGTGTGGTGAGAGTAGAAAGAGCAACGCAAGTGTCCCTAGAGAGAGCAAGCTGATGTGTGTGTGTATGTGTGTGTGTGTGTGTGTGTGTGTGTGTGTGTGCGCGCATCTTTTTTTTCCTTTGCATGCAGGTAGAGTCTGGCGCACATGAATGAGGCCTTCCTGTGCAGCTGCCAAGAAAAATTCATATTTTACCTGAAAGACTGAGACATATTCACTGGACTGGAGAAGAGTCCTATTACTAATATTAATGCCCCTTTTTATCGATCACCTTGATAGATTACCCCCTCGCTCGCTCCCTCTCTGTAGACACACAGTCTGGCACACATCAACTGAGACAGGCTGAGTGTGTGTTTGAGTTTGGGAGCAGTCATGCCTCCAAAGACAGGAGTGATTTATTGAGGGGGTCTGATATGAACAGTTCAGCCTTATACGGAGTCCTGTATGTGTGTGTGCGTGCAATTGTGTGTGTACCTGCATCACCTGGGTCCCTGCTGCTGCGGGCCGCCGGTGTGATGAACCACAGACGATGATCTGCCTGGACAGTCAGTCAGAGGAGCTCCCAGGCTGAAGCACACCTGACCACCTGAGTGGAACGTGATGGATGAGGCAGAGGCTCAGCCCGGCTTCACTGTTTATTTTTGATAGTCAGGTTGGGAACATTTACCAGAAATGAAATGTCTGAGAGTGAAAAATTTGATTACCGTCTGTGGCGCCTCGAAAAAAAGCATTCGCTGAGTCTGTACTTTGTTAATTCACCTTTTACTGCAATTACAGCTGCTGCTTTTGGAGAATGTCTCTCCAGCTACAGGCGAAACATTTTTACACATTTGTCTTTGTAAAATATCCAGACTTGAGGAAGTTTAAAGGTAGACGTCAGTTTTTAAGTCTGGTAGCAGATTACTAATTAGATTAAGTTTGAACTTTTACTAGGCCATTCAAACACATGAATGTACTTTCATCTACACCATTCAATGCAGTTCCAGCTGAATGATTGCAGGGCTGGACAATAAATCAATCACAATATATATCGCAACAGACATGTGATCAATATCAATAGATAATACATCTGAGAGAATATTCAAAATTCAGTGCATAGCAGAGGAGTATCTGTGAGTAGCTAGCACATAAGTGCTTAAAAATACACAATGGTGTGGATATACAGGAAAGATCATGGCACTAGATTAGCAGTATCTCAGATATTTAAAATAAAAAAAAAATGAATCAATAATCACTGATAGACAATTATCGAAATAGATGAATATGAAATGCTTATTGTGGTTAGTCTTTCAGAGATATTTTCTAGCCTTAAATGGAGAGTCTTTTGCAGCATCTTCCAGGTTTTCCTTCAGTTCTGTCTTTGCTGGAACCTCTGACCAACTTCTTCACGCCTTCTGAAGAAAATCATTGCCACAGCTTGAAGCTTCCATGTTTTAATGGTGTGTAGATGATGATGATGTGCAGTTAGTTTTTAGCCACACATCTTGATTTCACAATCAGGTCTGTGGCAGTTTTGGTCTGCTCTGGTCAGAGCGACCTCTTCCACACCGTATACCTGAGCTAAGCTGTAATCATGATCTCTTTGTCTTCTTTGCTGAACAGACATCCAGCCAGTTCAGTATTCGCAGATTCTTTTTGTGGAATGTAACTCCAAATTATTACTGGAAAATTTGCTTACTTATGAGTTTGTTTGTTTGTTTTTTTTTCATACAGCATATCTATAGTATTCTAAACAAAATCCAGCTTGGAAAGCTAAAAGAACTTCGCATAACTTAATATGTTATTGGCTGATGTTTGCAAAGCAGCCAATCCAGGAGCACCATTCATTTTCCTTGGCACTCATTGGCTGTTGCCTCTAAGAGTGGAAATAAGGAAGCACTGTGTTGTCCTCTGCGAAACGGCTTCCACAAAATAATGCATAATAAGGCATATTTGGTTTTTGAATTATTAAAATAGGCAATTATAAGTCAGCTTGAACAGAGCTCTGTGAAATGTTCAGAGGATTTTGTTTTAGTAACTAACCTTGATTTGAACTGAACCATACAACTTCCTCTTGACTTATCTGCTGTTCTTTGGTCTTCATGATGCTGTTTGTTCACTGATGTTCTCTAATAAACATCAGAGACCTTCCACTTCAAAGTTTCACACTGCTTCATGTTGCTCCATCTGATAAAATTTCAATAAAATACATTGAAGTTTGTGGTGATAACATAATAGAGTAAGAATAACATACAACAGAGCTCTGTTGGTCAAAGCATCAGTGAAGTAACTCTGGGAAAAGCTGAGGGTTTTTGTATTCTGTTGGATGGCTTAAAAAGATGGATCAGGGCGGTTTGAAGTGAGGGTGTACATAATGGAAAGAGAACAAGACACAAGAGAGATAAAGCATCAAAACAAAACATTAGAGAGCAGAGGAAAATATGTTTACAGCTGAGCAATGTCAGACACAAAGAAAGCAGGCAGAACAAAATTTGAAACTCCAAAGAGATAAAAATGGGCAAGAAGAACTGAGCAGAACAGGACAAAACCGAAGCAGCAGAACAAAGGAAGGAGAGAGCAGGCAGAAGGAGAACAGAGCGGAGCATCGGTGTCTCCTGCTGAGCCGGTGTAAGCCTGTAAATGTGATCAGCGTGAATCCGTCCCCTACATCCAGCAGCTGCAGCCTAATGTGTGTTTAGCCTGTTTGGACTCTTCCAGGTGTCTGCTGCCTGCCTCTCCGCCGCTGACAGCTCAGGCTGCCTCTCTGATTTACTGCTCAGTCTGGTGGCTTTCTCGCACAAACCCACCGCTTCTCCGTGTGGTTGACCAGGCATAATCTGTGGGTCCCTGTAATTACCGCTCGGCCCTGTATGTTTGTCTGATATGTCGCCAGTCGACCGCTGCGCTGCCAGTGCCGGTCTGGCCACAGGCGAAGAAAGAGGCTCATTTTCGATTCTCCAACAGCAGTTTTGCTTGAGCCCAACATTTCTGCCGCCTGATCATGCAAGCGAGGCAAGCAAAGCAATTCCTGCACCGCAAGCACCTGTCCCATCTCCTCCAACGACCCCTACATGCATCCACTTTCTTTTGCTCCCTTTTCCTCCTCTTCTCTTTCTTTTATTCCATCACAGGAGCAGGGCAGAGGCTCAGATAGAAAGAGACAGGCCATAAGACAGGGAGATGGAGGCAGGGGGAGATGAAGAAAGGAAGAGACAGCGGGGCTCAGTCCTAATCTGTTGACAAGGGGGGATGTTTGAGGATAAACAGAGGAGAGCTCAGAAAGTAATGACGAAGGAGAAGATGGAGCTTTTTGCCTCAGATAGCAACCCAGCTGGACCATTAATGTTTGATGGTTTAGATTAGCAAAAGATTTACACCTAAACTGGGCTGCAGGGTCGTCTAGAGATCCTCTTATGATATAAAAGTGTTATGTTAAAAGAAACCAGACTTCTTTCAGGTTCCTGAAATGTTCCATCTCTCATCCAAATACTTGCCTGACATCTTCTGGTACCCAAAACACAGCGATTAACCTTCAGGACTTGTAGACTAGCAATCATTCATGGTGATGGAGAAACTTCCCAGACCTACAATCTGTTGGCACCTCTTGATTTAACTAATCCCCTCTGCAGTTGTGTGATTCCTCCCTGAGTCGTCAAACAACAGAAATACTCCCAGATTAGATGGGAAGTGGATAAAGTCAAACATTTTTTTCCCTCCATTTACAGCATGTAAAGATTAGAGCATGTTGTCATATTAATGGAATGCAGTTTTGCAATGACACAAAACATGATTTCATCAAATTTTATCTGAGCTGTCTCATAAGAGAAGATTTATCCTAGAGTAATTACAGATAGGTAGTTATAGAAAGGATAAGCTTGGCTTTTCCTGGTTTGCTGCAAACGATACAGCCGACCTGCAGGTTGGGCTTGAGGTCAAAACAAGATTTATTAGATAGATATATAAATAACTTTGTTAATCCCCTCAGGGACGCCAATCTCTCCCTGTGTTGCAACATCTTTTTCACCTGTTTCTATGCAGCTTGGTTAGTTGATATGAAAAACAACGTGCAGAGAAGCTTCTCCTCCATTTTCTTATTAACATCTTTTCTGATGCAAAATGCAGCTCATCTCTACACATTTACAGCAAAAATAATGAGACAATTTTAAGGAAAAGTCAGTTTGTAAGCCATTGAAATTTATGAAACATACTTTTTTATGTATTAACGTAGCCTTATTTGCTGGTAAATTGCTTTATCACACAACTTCACAGACTCCCAAAGTGCAAGTTGTAGGTCAGAGATCTGGTGAAACGTGTTGGTCTGCACATAAAGCTGCTTCCTGGTCTTTACCTCACCAGATTT